TCAGCTGCACGAACATAGTTGTGCAACTGATGAATATAGACACAGAGTCTACAGTACCAGTCAGTAAGATCCCCTTTCCAACCTAAAGCGAGAGAGACGAGCGGAGGTCATACAGAAATCGGCCTGAATGTAAGCGCTCCCAAAGGCAGAGATTAATCAAAGTGACACGACAGCTGGCGGATCACTTCAGGAGACAACAACCCTGTGAAAGTAGCTGCTAAGCCTTTCCACCTTCAGTGAGCAGCCTGACTGAAATCCTCATGCGAGAGGAAGGGTACCAGGGACGGGGAGTTCCGTCTAACATGTGCTCGCTCCCCAAGGCCACTAACTACTGCCGGCCTCAGCTGGGCTGACTAGCGACCAGGAACTAAATCATTCAGTATGGACCAGGACGTATCACCTGGTCAACAATCAGGGGATACTTAAAGAAAAAATATATGCTTTTCGGTTTTTAAATTGATGTCCGTCACTACATTTTCGTTATAAATAACTACAACAACTCAGCAATATGTATATGAAATATTGTTTTAAATATATTATATGTATCAAAGTGAAAAGCCTAATATATATTTATAGGTACCCATGACATGCTTTTCTGTTTATTACCCATCCCCTATTGTGTGTCAGCCTTTTTATTCATGTAAATGGTCTGCAGAGTCAACAAAACCTCTCAAAAGGAACCCTGAGCGGAGAGTAAACTCTAACAGAAAAGACCTGTTCTAACTGCTGTCCCCAGAACGCCTCGTTGGACATTTCTCTTTTATCCATTGTTTTCTCTTGGTATATGTGAACCGTATGTGTCGTCTACTTTACGTCCGCGGAGACCGTTACGTTTAGCCGTGTATTCGTCCAAATGGACCAATCCGGGAGGCCCGTTACCGTTAGCGTCCATGGGATCGGTCCAAATGGACAATCTGCGACTTCCTCCACACACACACACTTACTTTTTCAGACCTGCGCTCCGCTGATTTCTCCGCCTGAGGACGCCCCAAAAAAACGGCGGGCGACGCAAGGCTGTGAGACATGTGTGCACACACACAAACTCCCAGCCAGGCTGCAGGTGTGTGTGTATGATCGGGCTGGTTTCCAGCTGGTTTCAGGCTGGGTTTCGCTGTCTCGCAGACGGCCACTGGGCTCACAGGGAGGAGGGAGCAGAAGCTCCAACAAGGCGTGTAGGACAGAGAGTGAATACACATACTATACAGAGATGCTGTATGAGAAACCAATGTGAGTTTGGAAAATTGAACAATGTAAATCTATTTTAGTATATCTCAACAATGGAATTATGATCAGTAGAAATGGCCATGACATGGGACCTTTAACTAAACGAAACTTAAAGGAGCGCTATTCTCCCTTTCCTTTTCCTTTTCCTTTTCCTGTGTTCGATAGGTTTTTGTGCATGTAAATGGCTAAAATCCCGAAGTTCCCAACCAAAGTGCCTGAAACACCTCCATTGGACTCCTTTCTTTACTTCCATAACACAGTGACATCATAATGTAACATTTCAACACATTTTACCGTATATGCTTAGGGTAGGGACATCTCTGACACATCTCTAAGCGGTTGACCAATCACAACAGAAGAGAAAACAGGTGCTGAGGCACAGGCAGTATGAGAAAAATAAAGAGCTTTTTGAACATTAAAGCATGGAGACATGTCACAGTAGCGGCACTAAATAAATACTAATATGAACCTGAAAATTAGCACAGTATGTTTCTTATATTTTATGTAGAAATCAAACTACTAAATTGATCTGACTTTACAAAAAAGTGTATTGCCACATTATCAAGCTTAGTATACTGAAAATGGGTTTGGTTGGAAGTATTTTATTTTTTAAAGAGAGTAAATGCAACCACAAAAATCTGAGATTATATGGGTCTAGATGAAATTTTTAAGAGAGTAAGCTCTATTCAAAATGATTGAGCTAAAATTATGAATATAATAAAGATGAAATTAATAAAAAATATATATCTGCATTCAAATAAATTGGTTTAGCACAACTACCTACATAAATAAAATGTGTTAATTCAACATAAATAAATGTTCAGTGTTTCTGGGGAAGAGGTTTTTTGGTTCAGCTGTTATTTATGATATGAATGGCAATGAGAGGGAACATGTGGCATGTCTTCCAATTAGTGAGGCAAGGAAACAGGCAAGCTTTAGGCTATTTTGTTTTCACCACAATTTATGATAAAAAATGTGTTTGCTTTTGATTCCCAATGCATTTGAACTTTAAATCAATGAAACTGATTGTAGTAACACCCAGCTGAAAAAAACAGACTGGATTATCAAAGCCTGATATTTCCATATCGCGACTAGGACGGTATGCAAATTATTGAACACTTTTAGATAATAAACCATTTAATTTCCCTTTTAAATGTATCCGTTTGGACAGCTTAAACAAAAGGCTGAGAACGTCTCACTGTCAGACCGAGGAGTCAGGTCTGACATATCGGCCTTGCCAGGAGAATCTGTGCACGGAAATGAAAGGAGGTCTGCTCTCTGATTTTTCTCTGTCAGCCTTCCACGTGGCCTTGTTTCAAGAACATGAACAAAGGAACAAGTTCCTCCTCATGGAATGCATTTAAATTGGGTAAAAGAGAGAAAAACTTTGGGAAAACTATTTGTCATGCCATCTGGGAGCATCTGTACCAGCCAGGATCACTTAAAGGGTGTATAATCTATCAGACACTAACAACACAGTCTGAGGTCATTAGATGAGTCAACAATTCTTCCCAACAACACTAATGGTAGCTCCTCATGATTATATATTACGAAGCACAACTTCAACAAGGAATGATTTGTGGCTTTAAGTTACTTTATGTAAACTTGAAAATGCAGCTGCTTGCAACTGTGTTTGTAAACCAAAATTAGAAATGTTGGGTAAATGAACTGCCCTGCAATAATACCATCAACGTTTTGTTAACTCATATGGAAAAAACAATGTACAATAGGACTACAAATAAAACGTATGGAAGATTGTAATACGGTATATAAAGACACCCCAAGTTCAAAGTCAGTAGAAAGAAAATGTAGTTGTGAGATATTGCGGTGAACACATTCGGGAGAATTGTCAAGTTTAAGGTATATAAACTCCACAAGTCTTAGTTGTAGTTTATAGCTGCGTTGTCATATACAGTATTTCACATTGCTATTTATTTCACATTATTATGTGTATGTCATAGAAAAAGATGATAACAGTACTCAATTAAAATCATAAAAGATGGTTATTAATGAGCTAACATAGTGATGCTTTGTCTCAAATACCATAATACGTATACGTACATTTGCTATTTTTTTGTGCATAAAGTGTACCAATAGGAAGGAAAGCAAAATGCAATTTGTGTACCAGATGGTGCACTCATAATGGTTAAAAAGTTAAGTGTGGAACGCTGGACGAATGATCGCCATATTGGCTACGAATCTAGCAGCAACACAGCAATATACAAATGTAAATTCTACTTAACGTTTTTTATTTTAAGTGACATACTTCTAATCTGGTGTTAAAAAGAAGCCACCAGTATTTTTTTAGGGTAAATTGAGCAGTGTAAGGATTTGGTACCACAAACGTTTGTTGCTAGCTAGTTAGCTAATTAGCTACTGGTTGGTGCTAGCCAGCTCGCAGCAGCAATAGTCAATTCAAGTGAGGGCACAGCAGTTTGTGCAATTTGAGACAGAATTACATGGTTGAAATTCATACACTAAATTATGAACTAAGGGAAGTATCCTGATTGAGACACTATATTAGGCCCAATTCCAAACCACACCCGACCCACTCCCCCTCAGTGATGGAGTGAACTCCGTCTGTCGTCTCACTCGCAGCTGAACGAGACTCCCTTCTTCAAGGT